TTTTTTTTTTTTTTGTACTAAATGCGACGGGGACAAATTAGTGTACCAATTAGTGTACCAATTTACTTGCTTTTTTCATACAGATTTTAAACGTTTTCGCGTGACTCGAACGTAAATTGATCCCGGCTACTTCGGTAATTAGATTCTGGCATGCGGACTGTTGGCAACGAATTGAAATTGAAAAGTCGATGGACTTACCCCGTTCTGTGGAACGCAGATTCGCAGAATGCCCGGGAACAGGAGAAGAGAACACAGTTAGAATCGACTATGACGAGATAGAGTTTAAAATAGTTGCATATACGTAAGTACTTATTATAGGTCGTATATATAAAAAATATGATTTTTGATGTATGATTCAGACTTTTGAAAAGTTGAGACAGAAACGATCTAACGAACTCTCGTTGAATCTTTGCGTCATTTACTTCGATAGGATGAAAGACAAGTGGAATTTCACCGGTCTTACAAATTTTCTTTGCAAACGTACATCTCGATATCACTCACCGAAGCTTCATTGACGCTCTTGATATAGTCCTTGTAGGTTCCCGCGATCAGCTTCACAATGTTCTCGTCGCCGTGCTTGGCCGCCCAATGCAACGCCGTCTGTAACAGATGACGTCGGTAAACGTGAAACAATGAAATCGTACGATCTGTTCATTTTTTTTTGTTTTCCCCTCTCCAAAGTAAAATTACTTAGCGGATTATACCGACGAAGAGAACGACGAGGTGACAGAAGAGACAGAAGAAACCCCGGCGTGAACGTAAAAATACGCCAACGACGGAAATTTACGGGCCACGTCGGGAATATTTCGGAAAAATCGCGACGGTGGCCCGGTTGTAGACACGACGCGAGCAGCTGTAGCGTATTTTCAGCCCGCGGGGCCCCGGTGAAATATTCGCGAATTAAGCAACGGCACCAGGCCACGTCGACCGGAACGAGCTGGATGAATGGCGACGTCGGACAGCACTCGAGAGTAGAATGAGGTGGAGCACTTTGAGAGCAGTCGATCACCAGGGGCGCGAGAGCTAGTTCACGAGAGAGGGAAGGAACGGCGCGCTGCGACGAAGCTCTCGAACGCTCGAAGGAGACCTCTAGAATCGTCGTCCGAGCTCGAATTACTTCGCCCGAGTATCTCCGAGGCGAAAAAATCCTCCACCGGAACTGGCACCGACCTGTGGCTGGATTCTTGGCTCCGATTCAGATCGGCCGTGTATCGCTCGGTATAAAAAGTTTAACGCTAAAAACTATCAATATAACCGAAATAACCAAAATGACCAATTTCTGTTTGGATATTTCATAGATAGAAAAGAATTTTTAGAGACTTGAATAATTTTCCGTGAAATACATAAATAAAAACTTGTGTATTCTACGTTGCATTACAAAGATTTTCTGTTAATTTTACGTCTCTGATGGAAACTTCATGTTAGTCGACGACGAAACTCTCATATCTCGGTCCTTTCGCGCAACAATTTGCCAGTGAACGATATTGATAAATATCGTCAGGTAATTCACGGTTCATCAAAGCAAATGTATCGTGAACTTGTAAAAGTTCTCCACTGATAATTCAAGAGGATACTCTTTTCGTTAGTTAGTTAGTTCGAAAGCAACGCAGCGACCTGCTTCTCATTTGAGTAGCAAGAGAATCATCCTGTTACAAGCGAACAAATCGCAGAATTCGTAGGGATGGGCATCCAGCGTCGAAGCGGCAGGTCGAGAGAACGACCTATCTTTTTTTTTTCGCAATTTTCGTTTAAATCGCCGGTTTACGCGACGAGTGACACGGCGGACAAAATGCGCGCGAGTTAGAAATAAACCGGCGAGTAAAATGTAAAGAGCACGTTTTTAAATCCAAAACAGCACGCGTCTAGCTGGGCGAGCGGTTGGAGCGAACGCGGCCACGTTTAAGCGTTGAGTTATATCCGGGCTGGCTTGCTTTGACATCGAGCCGTTCAAATGTCCGGCTATTTCCATATAGCGGGTTATTCCGCGACCCGCGGATTATTTCGAGCATATACGTTATTATTCTTTGCAAGTTAGCCGTGACGGCTCGTAAATTTAATGGCCGCGGGCAGGTCTCGCAAAAACGCGAGGACACGCGCCGCGCCATTCGTCCGACCGTGCTTAAATGTCGTTGTCGCGTAGTATCACCTTGTCGATGCCCGCTACACGTTTAGTGCTTTCGTAACGCGTACAGCAGACAACGATGGTACTTTGCGAATAATCAGAATACGTCCGTATTCCCGGTGATTTTCAATACAAAAATATCTAGAAGTTTGATACCATATCACGAACGAAGACATCCTGAATTCCTCGTCAAAAAATATTATTGACTGACTAGTAACATAGAAGTAGTAGTATTACGATAGATTCTGATAATTGTGTTGAATTATCGAGACTGTCGGTGTTGGAATTGTAAATCATTGGGTATTACAGACGCGCTCATAATTAGTAGTTTCGGCTACCATTTCGATGTTGTAGCTCTTTTTTAAGTAAAGGATGTGTAGTAAGCTTCGAGTAAACGAAAAAAGAAAAAAAGAGAGAGAAGAGAAAAAGGAAAAAAGGAAAAAGAAACAAGGTGTCCGTTGGCGTAACAGCCAGGAAGAACCAGGATTATTCCGCATGGTGTAGCGCGAAGGGTGGCTAAGAGAGAAATATACAACTCGCGTCGAGGATATAAGCAAGCGGTCGGGGTGCTCACGCGGGGACATGTATTTTAATTCCGTCAAGTCCGCGTCCCGGGGGTAGATTAAAAATAGTGTCCAGGTCTCCAGATTTGCACGCGGCCGTCATAGGAAGCCACCTGGGGACGTGCACCTGATCCGCACGGAGAGAGCCGCCACGGTAGAGCGAGGCTGAGCCGACCGTCTGCACTAGTAGCAGAGACAACTTGCAGGCCACCTCATTAGCGGCGGAAAAACTCATCCTAACGAGGCTACGTACCTAATGACGAGAACCACGCGCGCGCTCTCTT